AGGAAGCTGCCTCGCCGGGCGCCGTCAGGGGCTGCGAGGTCTCGGCCGAAGGGAGCCGGTTTGACACGTGAGCTTGGTTTCCGAGCAAACCACGAGCGTCGCTTCTCCAGCAGCTTTGCGCCAGTCCGGCGGGACGGGAGCGTAGCGAAACGTGAGCATGGCGCGTCGTGAAAGCGGGGAAAGGTGGCTGTCGGGCCGTACGCCTTGTTCGGCGCGGTCTGGGGCCTGAGCCCGAGGCGGGTGTGATGAAACCGGCCGACGGGGCCACTTTGCGGTTTCCACAGCAACCTCTTCCGAATTTTCTGGTGTTTCTTCCCGTTAATGTCACAGCATTACCGTTGTATCGCTCTGTGGTTTGGAAGTTCATGAAGAAGAACGTGCCTCGCCGATTCCATAGGGAAGTAATTGCACGGTAGCTCCTGCTGCCTGCGAGGCAGGGACTTTTGCCCGCAAAAGCTGTGGTCCAAAGTCTGCTGTACTTTTGGTTTTTTTTCCTTGTCACGTGAATGGGAAGGGGGAGCTTTCCTGTTAAGTTGTACGGGAAAATCAAGAGCTAAAAAAGGTTAGCGTGAAGCTAACGTGTTTGAAGAAAAGGAAATTTAAAGTCTTGAAGAACGTGGTGTGAGCTCATGTTTGAGTTTTCTAGCGAGACTGGAAAAGCGTCTCCTGTTTTGACAAAGCGAGTTACGTTCTGGACTAGAGGCGGGGCAGAAAAGCGGATCTCTCAGTGCAGCACAACCACGTGAAAAAATCAGGCGATTGGTGAAGGTGGTGAGGAATGAGAAACTATTACTCCCCCTGCCCCTGAGCGTTGTTAGTTGTATCGACGTAATAGGCTTCGTAAAGCCCAAGCCCATGGGTAACGCCGTGACTTTGGGTCCCTTGGGAATGTCTGCGCAGCAGTTTTTCCAGCATTACCTTCTGCAGTCCTTCATTTCTCTGTATTTTCATTTGCCTCAGTGTAATCCCCTGATAATAAATAACTTGCTGGGGTGAGATAAAGAAATTGGATCTTTGAGGAAGGAGCCTTAGGAAGAAACGCTTGTTTTTGTTACGTGTCACCTGCGTGGTACTTGTCTTTTTTCAGGGAAGTCCTTTTCGGTTACACGGTGCGTAAGCTGCAGCCGTGCGATACAGCCGTTTGAATAAAGGCTGCGGAACCTGAATGAGTGTCCTCTGCAGCGTGACCAAAGGAGGCCTTAACTTTGTTAGCGAGCGTGGGACGGTTCAGTTTTGGCCTTTTGTTTTCCTGCTTAAAGTCGATAGCATTGTCTGATGGACCAGGGGTGCTTCTGCAGCGGAGACTGTAATCTAGCGAACCAGGAGAGCGTAGAAAAAGGCAACAAGTCGAGCACAGGAGCTGACGTACCATATGCCAAGGGTGGATTTTATTGTTGTCGATCGGAATTTTGGGGTGGTTTGGTTTTGGTTTTTTTTTTTTTGGTTGGGGTTTGGGGTTTTTTTTGGTTAGGGTTGGTTGTTTCTGGTTTTGGGTTTTTTTTGGGTTGGTTTTTTGGTTTTGGTTTTGTTTTTTTTTTTTTTTACTTGGGGTAGGATTAGCACCAGGGTAGGGAGAGAGAGAAAAAACAGCAAAGCTTCTGCAGTGAAGAAGGGTTAACGCATTTGACTTATAGTTGACTGCTATCCAGAACAATTTTCCATACTCATTTGGGCTTGCCTGTGTGTGAAATTAACGTAGTGTTTGTGAGCCTAAGACCTGACTGGAGACCCGGTTTCCGTTCTCTGTCTGGACAAGCCAAGGTGGGTAGAATTGCACCGTGCGATGGTTCCGTGTGCTGGCCTGATTCATGGAAACAGACCGGAGCGTCTCTGGGGCTCCACGTCAGAATCCTTCATCGTCCTTGAAACTATCTGAGATCCTTTGACTGCTGGGAACTAATGGAGTTCTCTTTTCTTAGAGTTCCGTACAGATCACATTTGAAGAGGGTCCTCAGTTACCACCAGCTGCACATATAAGTCACGTGACGTGCAAGGGACAGTCGGACCGCAGCATGGTAAGGCTTTGCTGTTCTGAATTGTGCAGCGTGGGGTTTCTCCGTTGACTGACGGTGTGTTCGACCGAGATTGCCGAGGCCTGTGCGATGGGGATGGCGGAACTGGGGAAGTTTCGGGCGAGGTCTGTCGCTGAGTTCAGAGGCCTGTCGACAAGCTCTGGGCCTGTGTGTCAGTGAGCTTTGGGAGAGCCCTGGAGGGAGTGTGTCGGTGGAGCTGGGGCCTATGGACGCTGAGCCCAAATATCGGGGTTCTACAGCGTAGAGGAGAAGAGAGCTCTCATCACCGATGCGTCTTTACTGCCTTGCGTACGGAGTCTGAAATGGCAGGTTCGCAGTCCGGAACTGGGTCTGGGAGTAAGCCTGATGTTTCTTTCCTGCTACAATGGGTCAACCTTGCCTGTTGCTTTTAGAGATTTTTCTGTCGCGCGGCTGCCTCTCGCCAAGGATATAAACTCGTTTCCTTCCTTTTCTTTCTAGGTGCTGTCCTGCCATCTGTCAGCTGAAGCTGTGAAATTCCCGGTCTCCGTTACTCAGCAGTCCCCAGTTGCTGTTTCTGTGGACACCTATCATGTCACTCTGGCTGTGCTGCAGGCTCAGGTAACAGCTGTAAAAAGTTAGCCGTTTAACTTGTTCTTTCGCACAGCCCCATGCTGATTGAGGAAGGAGGACCCGATTTAGTGCAAATACAGGCCTCCTCGTGCCGGAAGCAGCAGCGTGCTGTTGCTGACGTTTGGCGGGGTGGCAAACATTGCCGGTCTGCCTGCTGAGTCCCATTTTCTGAGTCTTATTCTGCAGGTCTTGGCCATGTAATGTATCTGTAAAAATATCCAGAGAGATTTGAGGCATGGCAGCGTTCTATACTGTGTTTTTAAGCGGGCGTTTGAGAAGCGAAAGGTTCACAGAGTTCAGTTCCCCTTGCGGTGTGATGGATAGGGAAGGGCGCGTCCCGTGCGTACGTACGATTGCGGCATTGTCCTGGTGGTCGGTGTGAAAAAGAAACCTGTGGTGAAGAGCAGTTTGCTTGTCAGTGTTCCCCTTAACGCATTCACAAGAGCGTGATGCAGATTTCTTTTTTTTCCTGCGCGTTCAATATTGGAGATGCTTCTTCCGGAGCAAAAGCGCTGTGAAACCGCAATGGGTGGTAACTCCGTAGTCACTTTCTGGCTGGATTTGCTTCTCTGGAACGTGACTTTGTTCCCATCACGAAGAAGGGCTTGACGCCGGACACGGTATCTTGCTCGGAGACCATGCGCTTGTTTGCGCTATAGGGAGACACGGTGAAATTAGAAGAGGTGGCGGGGGCTGATTCTATGCTATTGCAGGTATTGCAGTTGGAAGGTTGTTCTAGTGCCCCCTTGCTCTCAGAAGCTTTATTAAAATGTTCAACCTACGTTTATCAGGTCGTCCCGGTTTGGTTTTATGCCTCGGTTCCGTGATCATTTAAATAGCTCCCCCCCGCTGTTTAGCACGCCTGCTGCAGATCTAGCTGTGGGCAGCAGCTGTGGTCGCTTTTCATCTTTGCGTAGTCTCTGAGAGCCGGGTGGCCTTCGTCACATCTCATCAAATTGCTCCTCCGCTTGCTGGCATTTTCTAGGTCTCCTTGTCTGTGCCTGTCCGAGTTTTCAGTTGATGATTCTTACAGAGAATTGCATGTGGCATTCTACTTGAGGTCTTGCTGCTGCATTGTGAAATGCTGGTAAGGTTATCGTGTGCCTGTCGGTCGGAGTACTTGAAGCATTGCGTTTCCAAATGTGCCTTGCCTCTCTTAGGCACCTCTTGTTGGTTCCTTACCCGGCTACCGAGTCCCAGATCTGTCGCTTTCGACTGACGACCTTCTGTGTTCCTGGTAAACGAATGTCAGTCTGCCAATTACTTTGGAACTATGTAAAATTTCATTGCCCTGTTTTCGCTAGAGATACCGGCTCAGGAGTTCTTCCTGTGCGGTTCTGTTTCTGTCCGTTGCGTTAACGCGACGCCCTTTGGGTGTATCGGTGTGCAACTTTGCAGCCGAACTACGGGATGGTGTACGGTCTGGTTTGTTGTTGCAGACTATCGGTGACCTGGATGAGTTTTCAGTCTGAGGATGATCTCCCGGAGACGCATTGCTAACTTACAAATGGCCGTGCTTAGTATTGGCAACGATTAATTGACGTAGCTCAGCAAATATCCCGTGTCGGCACCTAACTTGCTCTTTTGGATTGTCCTGCGGGCTGCTTCTTCTGCCAAAGAAATAACCTGTCGTTTTTCCCTGCGATGGTGCCTGGACGTCCAAAGGCGGCGAGGAAGCCAGATCTCGCTACGGAGCGACAAGGCTTCTGCAGCTGCTTCTTCCTGTAGGCCCGGGACCGCGTGCGCTCTTATGTTTTGTCTCTTACTGTTGCACTCGTATGAGGGCTTTTCAGTTGCTGAATTTGAAGTGGGGCAAAAAGCACCTAATGGAAACGGAAGCTGTTCCTGACTCTGGGTATCTGCTCTGGGCCAGGTGGAGATCCGCTTGGAGGAGGTACAGAACGAAGGTCTCCTGGTGTCGTGGACCTTCAAGGACAGACCAGACTTGAGCCTTTCGGTTCTTCCGAGACTTCAGCTTCGCGAGGTGAGTGGCAATCAGCAGGGAGAAGGGCGGGAGGGGCGGAAATGGCGTCGAGCCGAGAGCCAGGCTGCTGCGGGGCCGGAGGGAGAGGTTGACGACTCTCTGTCGTGGCCCTTTAGGGTGACGGAGGGGATTCTTTCACCCTGGAATCGATACTAGCTCAGCTCTGTCAAAACAGGGCATCCGCAAGAGGGCCTAAGCAGTACTGACGTCCGTTGTCCAAGTTTGGTGTAACAGCAGAATGGGAGTCTGCATAGCGAAAGAGGCTTTCTGTCTGTGTAGGTCCTCCTGCTGTTGTCCTGTGTAGAGCTGCAAAATGAGCTGGGTTGGTTCGGTTTGGGGTTTTTTTTGTGTGTGGTTTTTCTTTGTTGTTTGTTTTTTTTGTTTGGGTGGTTTTTTTTTGGGAGGTTAGCATGCGGAGCCTGCGGGTATTGAGAGGTTTAATGGGCTGAACGGCAGCGTGCTTGCGCTTTTGGGATCCAAATAAGTTGGTCTGTTTGTTTTATTGACACCCTTGTTGCTTTATCCTGGGTAGATGTAGGAATCTGGCTGTTCTCCCAAAAGCGTGGTAGTACCGTCTCACGAGGCGGTGAGGACGTGGCAAACCATAAAAGCTGTATTGTCAATATTTGCGCCCGGTAGACTACAGACGTAGAGACTTAGTTTGTCTCATTTGGACAACCTATATTTGCCTGCAGCTGTTAGACAGAAGCTTTAAGCGCTGGGGAGAGCGAGTACAGGATACGGGAAGAGGACCTGGGAGGTTATTACCGGGAAAAAGACTGTGTAGCGTCTTAGAGGCTCGAGACCCAGTCGGAGCTGTGTAAGGAGAAAACGTGTCTGCCTTGTTACGACTTTCCTGCGTTTCCTCTTAATTTGCGGAGAGAAGAATGAAGGGAGAGCGGATCTGTCCACCATAAAGGATCTGATCGAGGATACCATTGTCAGCACGCAGCCAGCCATGATGGTGAATCTGAAGGCCTGCGCCACCGGAGCCGGTGCGGTAAGGCTCTTTCCTCACGTCATTCTTGCGCCTCAGACGCTGGGCGCTTCTGGGGGCTGAGGCCAAGGCGGGAATCCGAGGGTTTAGACTTACTTCTGGGCGACAGCCGCATCACGGCCTGCGCTGTTGTTCGAGTTGGGGTACTGTGGCACGGGGAGTAGGGATAATTAGAAACCGCTCTGGAGGACGGCTCTGTTTGTACCTTGTTTCCTGAACGCTGAACGCTGAGTGGCGGTTGCGTTGAGGCGGAGCCGGACTGCCCGAGACGCATCTCTGTTTTGGCAGTCTCTCTGTTGCTCTGAACACCGAGGCTCCGTCCGGGGCAGCCTTTACAGGCACGGAATGGTCCGTGGTTTGTCGTCTTCGGTGGTCCGTCTGGCAGCTGGAGAGCTTGCTCTTGTCTGTCTCTTCCTGTCTGCCTTAAATTCCATATCTGAAATAACACGGGGGGCCTGCCGGAGGTCGATAGCTTGGGGAACCTGCGGTGCCTCTTGATGGCTCTGTGGGCGTTCCCCTACGTTGGCGTGAGGAGCTGCTTAAGTAGATGCAAGGACGAACGTCGCGCTCTTGCTGCCGTCTGCTGGTGAGGGAACGATAAAGGCGTCGGTCTCGCTCTCGTCATTCCTCAGGTACCCAGCAATAAGTTGACTCGAGAGTCCCCGTCCGGAGTAGCAGCGGCCCCTCTGGGTTCTAAGCTGTTGCTCCGGAATCTTCGCGTGCTGAACTTGGGCTGCCGGGGGAAGGGAGGTAAGCGTGACGACGTTGCCGATCTGCAGGGGCAAGCGCGCAGGTGGCGAGATTGGGGCGAGTGGACGTTTTGGGCGGGTTTGAATGGAAAAGAGGGGCGTGCGTCCGCCGGGCTGCTGCCTCGTGTTGACGAGCGCGCGTGCGCGCTCTGTCCTTCTGTTGCAGGAGCGGGGGAGGTACGCTGCGTGGCAGGGCTAGACAGCCCCCCGCAGCAGAAGCGGACGAGGCCAGCGACAGCTGGCGGCGCCAGTGCCGCAGCAGAGATGGAGTGGAACGAGGAGCTCTTTCTGTAAGCGTCTGCCCTCCTTTCGGCCCGCGCGGTCTCTGGGTGTCATTACCGCGCCGCAGTAACCAATGCGGACGGCGCGGAGGTGAACTCTCGCGCCGCGGGGCGGCGTGCGTTTATGCTGCCCGCGTGCTGGGCTACCGATTCCGGCGACTGGCCTCAGCTTGCCTATGTATTTCCCGCTCCCCCGGACGCTCTGTGTTTTTAACTGGATGGGCGGAAGCGCCGATCGCAGGCGTCGTGGGGGAGTGGCGGCGTGGAAGGCCCGAAGCGTAAATCTTGGCCTTCCCAGACGGCTAGCCCTCTCGACTTGCCCTGGAAGCCTACATGGCCCTGCAGGGGACGTGAACTGGAGCTCTCCTGTTCCGTGTAGCGTGCTGCCCCTTGTCGTGTCCTCCAAAGTAGCGCGTGCCTGCTGGAGCTTTGGAAAAGGTGACGAGGCGCGTGAGATTTGAGGGAGGGAAGATACGGAACGGGGTTGTTTGCTACGTGGCTGTTTTGCAAAGACTGCCTGATACCAGCCCGTCTTTTTCTGTTTCAACAGGGAGTTGGGACCTAGAAGTAAAGAGCTGAAGCTACAGGTGCTGGGGAACAGTGACGGAGGGGGAAGTGAGTATGGGCAGCTGTAAGATGGATTGTAAGGCAGGGAAACAAAAATGCCTAAGGGACTTCCCGTGCTTTGAGCCTGCGGTAGTTCTGTTGGTACGATGCGTGACAAACTCCGCGAAGGATTTTTCACGTCCGACTTCACGTGAGCCTCTGACCGCGTGAAGTGACTCCAGAGTCCGTTTCTCTTAGTGAAACGCTCTTACTCTGACCTTTTTGGTACCCGGGAGGTTTCTGTGGCCTGCCCGTCTCTGCTCCGAAGCAGGGCGAGGGATGCAGGGATTTGCCCCCGTGTATTGGAAGAACGTTGCAGAAGGCTCTTTGCTCTGTTCGTTTGTACTCGGTCAGGGACTAACTGCAGCGCCTATTTTTGATGGAGGCCGCGCAACATCCGCCTCTTTAAGGGAGTCCATTTCTGGATTGGTAAAGAGGAGCGCTGCCTGCCCCCTCCTCCCCTCGAACCTGGGAGCTACTGGGGCCGTGGGGATCTGCTTCGCTGGCCCGCACGGCTGATTCCCAAAAGCGGGGGTTGCCTGGGAGACGTCCGAGGCGCTGAGGTCATGCGGTGCGTGTTGTTTTCCTGTTCCTTCTTGCAGATGTGCTGCTGGCCCACGCCACGCTTTTGCTTGATTCTTTGGGCAAACGACCATCTGGGAGACAGGTCTGCTCACTGGCCCCAGGAGCCGGGCAGTCACTGGCGGCCGAAGCTACCATTGTATTGGAGGTGAGTTCGCGACTCCGGAAGCTCGGCACAAACGTGCGCTCCGGAAGCGTTCACGACGCGAGCCTCTGGCTGGAGACAAGCGTGATTAGGCCTGGGCTCGTAGCGTGGGGACTGGCAGACCCTTAGGCCGAGGAGGGGTGTCGCCCGGCCCTCGGTCCCTGACCCTCCCTCCGTTCAACCAATGCTGTGGCAGGGATGGCTCCTCAGTGTGGTTTTTTGTCACCCCTACAGCTGCCTTTCCGTCTGGGAGGAGGAGAGCCTCTCTGAGCTGTGCTTTACTCTTTGTAGCTGCTATTCCAGGAGTCTCCTGCATCTTTGAACGCTCAGCACGCTGCATCTCTGCGAACCAGCATCACTCCCACTAAGAAGGTGGAGATGGACCGGACCATCATGCCCGACGGCACCATCGTGACTACCGTCACCACGATTCAGTCCCGGCCCAAGGCGGACTGCAAACTGGGTGAGGCTGCTCCCCGACAGGCGTCTTGTACGGGTGGGTGCGGTGGGGGGGGC